TATGTATTCAGTATATCAAAAATCAACAGTGGACCCCCGACAGCTGAAATCAGACTGAGTCAATTAGTCCCCTATTGCAGGGGTAGCTAACCTGGTCAGCCTCTGCAGAACTACAAGTCCCAGGATGCATTGCAAAAGTCTGACAGCCACAGGCATGACTTCCAGAGGCATGCTGAGATTTGTAGTTTCAGCACAGCTGGCGCTTCCAGATTGCCTACCCCCGCTCCATTGCATTGCCCTTCTATTGGTCTGACCTGTTTCAGGTTTTGGGAGCTGCAGGGCGGTGTGTTTAGGCAGCTTGCAGGAGACGATGCAGAGGACCTCTGCACTGCATATGTGCTCACAGGCAAATGACGCTGGAAGCTGCAATAGTGGATAATGGTGTCGCCCTGTTATATAGCGTGGCAGGGGTGCCTGGATCATGAGACTTGCTGAGCAGAGTTGCAGATAGTTTTGCCTGGATCTGGTCACATGTATTGCGCTGTTTGGCTGGAATTGTGCTTCTATCTGGTGTGGTGGGTTGTGAGTCTACTCTGCGCCTAAGGGGGATGAGTGGTTTCTAGTTGTCACTTTGTTACAATGTAGAACGCACAGGAAGAAAACTGATGCAATCTGATAGTTCTGGGAGGGGGTGTGTGTAGTGTGTGTGTTAGTGTGTGTGTTAGTGTGTATGGTGTGTGTACACGCGCGGTGTGTCCCCCGGTCCCCTGCAGGCGATGACCTCATCTGTTTGCAGAAGCCGTGTGGGCTGGCTGTGGTTTGCTCTTGGCTCATCCTGGAATGTCTCTGTGGGAGGAGTCATTGATGACCTCGGGCCGTATTGTTCTCTCATTGGACGGAGGGAGGCCGTTGGATTTTCGATTTCCTTTTTGGCCTCGTCAGAAATTCCAAATGTTTTCTCGAGTGACCCCCCCCAAACACCCGACTAGACTGAAACCCCACCACTGTAATACCGGGTACAGTGATATATATTTATTTCACATGTGTATTACACGCATGTATTTGGCTTACTTCTACACCCCCATCATGTACATAACCAGCCTGACGTGATATTAAAAAGTCAAAAGGGTTTTCCGCCATTACACATGATGATGAAATCACTTACAATGGATGCTGTCATTGATGTCTTAGGCCTTGTTGACACCGAAAGCGTGTTCGTTCCAGAGCGGTAGCTACTGGAACGCACCGCGATCGCTGAGAAACCTGCGTTTTGGGGAGGGGGCGTGGCGGTGCACTGAAATCAATGGCACGGCTTCCACGCCAAACTCTCTCCCACTTTCATGCTGTGGGAAAATGTACTTGCCAAATTAACTAAAAGCCCTATTTTTTGCGTTTGCAGTGGAACAGAACGCAGGCAAAGTTTTTCCACGCGTCCGATAGCAATGTCTGCGGGGGGACGTGGAAGCAGTGCCATTTAATTCAAAACGCGGGGGGGTGAGTTTCTCGGAGATCGCGGAGCGTTCCAGCAGCTACCGCTCTGGAACGCACACGCTTTCGGTGTGAATGAGCCCTTAAAGTTTGTTTCCTGCAGAGTCAGCGGGTCCCCTGAGCAGTGGTCCTGATATCCTGCTTGAGGGGGTCTCCTTTCCCACGCAGGTTCCTATGCAGCGTCTCCACAGACACAGCAAGGCAAGTCACTCCCCACTCCTCTCCAGGCTAGTAGATGAACAGTTGCTGCACACTCCTCTGTCCCTTGTGATCTTGTACTGGATAGTTGGAGCTGTTTGGAAACATGACGCCTAAGTGCTCGGGCTAAACTATAAATAAACACTTTGCTGGCCGATCAATATTCGACTGATCCGGGTTCAATATTGGAAAAATAAGTTTGAGACCTTAATACTAAGTTAATGTTTAACATGTTAATGTCGTTTCAGAAAGCACTTAAGTATGTACTAAATCTGCCGTTTCCCTGGTGACCCCACCGCGAAGGTCCTTGATCAGGCACTTCCTGTTATAGGATGACAACGCAGAAACGGTTGGGGGACAGAGCGTTGTCACCTTATAACAGGAAGTGCCTGAACAAGGATCATTATGGCACTCTAGTCCGGTTTTATTAAGGCCGGACAGATCCCAGTAGCCGGGTCGTCGATGCTCCTTAAAAATAAAAGCCGGCACTTAACCTTTTGAGGTTTCCTCCAGTTGTTGTCAATGCAGCTGGTTCCTAAAATAATAATAATCCTCCTGATTGGCCAGACTGGCTCCTGAACTCCATAATCTCCCGTTACCCCAAGGAGAACTATGGGGAAAAACACTGACCCCATAGTTCTCCTTTTAAACCGTCTTTATATTGGCCAACCGCAATCCCATGGGCTTGAATAAGGAGCATCAGCCTTATTAGGCTTCATTGCCTTATACAGAGCTGTCAGTCTAACATTGGGAGGTTGTGACAGGAGGATTTGATGACTAGGGCTGCAACAACTAATCGATCGATTAATAATCGATTTATGGGAATAGTTGGCAACTATTCTCCGTATTGGTTAGCGAGAGAGAGATTTTGTTAATGCAACCAATTCATTAGTTGAAAAAATTCAGCCAACTAATCGATTATGAAAATAAGCGTTAGCTGCAGCCCTATTGATGACCTCATTGGCGTGCAGCTCCTTCACTGATCCGTTACCAGGTTGGGGAGAGGGGTGGGGGTGGGGTGGGTGGGGTGGATTGGTGACCAAGCTGTATTGCTTAACAGCATTGGATAAAATCTGGTCACTCATCTGGCACCACAATCTGATCTTTTGCTGAATGATTACTGGGGTCCCATCCATGTACCAGAAAGGGGTCCATAAATATACAACCAGATTAGAATTTGATCAGATTCATGCGGATCTGGAGGTCTGAGGTGAGCTGAAAGCGAGCCTGTCCTCCATTTTAGGCCCCGTTCACATTGAGCGGTTCGCAAATCGCGCGATATCGCGCAAATGCTTGCATTGAGCAAGCTTGAATCGAGGCTAAATCCGCTCCAAAAAGGGTCCTGCTGTAGCGACACACGACCCGCGACAGCAGGACCCTTTGCCCCATTGCCAAGCATTGGAGCGCGGTAAATAGCCGCGATATCGCGGAAATTACCGCGTGATAATCGCTCAATGTGAACGGGGCCTTAATCTTTGAGATACCACCAGGTCATAGGAGCGCCCTCTCTGATATAGTTTCACTTTTGTCAAAGGGACCTGATTTTGGTTCCTGACACCTGCCCCTCCTCCACCCATTCATTGAATCCCCTTAAAGACCCCTGAAGAAGTCTTGTAGGACAGGGACAGACTTGGTGGGGCTTGGCCATGAAGCCATGTGGGGGCACGCTGGGTATTATAGTGAAACTAGATCAGAGGGGGCACACACAAGGTTTCCATTGCTTCTCCTGCCTGTGTGGGGAGGACGGGGTTAAACACACAATCTGTGAGCTCAGCCCTCTGTTCCTGGTTTCCTCCTTGTGATTAAACATAATACTGATGACCTCATTGTGTGTTTTCTTTCTCTGTCGCGGCTTTAATTGCCTGCGTGTTCCTGTAAGCTGTTATTGACGGTTCTCCTCTCTCTGTGGTTTTCCCCCCCCAGAATCCTCCTAAAGTCCCGGGGAGAACCCCGAACTCCAGGACCGGCGCCCCGATGATGTCATAGTCGCACACGGAGGAAAGTCTCTGCTCCGAAAGCCCTTCAGACTCTCCCAGTCCGGTGGAAGCGCTCCCGGTCCCTGGTCGCAGTGCCAGCAGCATCGCCCGTTCCCGCCTCGCAGGATGCCCTGACGCCGGAGGCCGCAGCATGCGCTGGACACGGCTGTGAGAAGCCCCGCTCGCTTCACCCTCCCGCGTCTGAGGGGCCGCCATGGCCGCCGAGGGTCCCCGGTGCCGGCCGGTGAGCGCCGACAAGCTGGTGGCGTGGATGGAAGGGGGGACGGAGAAGGTCCTCCTCATAGACAGTCGCCCCTTTGTGGAATATAACACCTCCCACATCCTGGACGCCATCAACATCAACTGCTCCAAGCTGATGAAGAGGCGGCTGCAGCAGGACAAGGTGCAGGTGGCCGAACTGATCCATCACTCCGCCAAGCAGAAGGTGAGCCCCGCCGGGGAGGGGGGAAATGCGCCACTGGCCTCGGGTAGGGGGGGCTGCAAGGAGGCGGTCAGCAAATCACATCCTTCCGTCTCTAACCTGGAAAGCGAGAGCCGGAAACGTATTGGTCGCTTCCAGAACACACAAAAATGTCATAAATTGCAAGCGTTGTCACCCTACAACAGGAATACAGAACACCTCCACTTGTCCTGATCTCTCACATAGGTGGTGTTCTGTAGTCCTGTCATAGGGTCACAGTGCCCGCTCATTGTAGTGTATCGTTGGAGGAGCAGCATAGTCGCCCTATGACTACAGAACACCTCCACTGTCCTGATCGCTGACATAGAGAGGAGGTGACTGTGCTCACTCAATGTACTGTATCTATGGAGGAGCAGTGTTGTCACTCTAGGACAGGACTGGCAGTGACACACTTCCTCTTCTAAGGTGACAACGCTCACTCACTGTACTGTATCTATGGAGGAGCAGTGTTGTCACTCTAGGACAGGACTGGCAGTGACACACTTCCTCTTCTAAGGTGACAACGCTCACTCACTGTACTGTATCTATGGAGGAGCAGTGTTGTCACTCTAGGACAGGACTGGCAGTGACACACTTCCTCTTCTAAGGTGACAACGCTCACTCACTGTACTGTATCTATGCAGGAGCAGCATTGTCTTCCTATGTCGGGACTACAGAACACCTGCCCTTGTTCTGATCTCTGACAGAAAGGTGATGTTCTGTAGTCCCGTCCTAGGGTGACAACACTTACTCACTGTATTGTATCTATGCAGCAGCAGTGTTGTCACCCTCAGGTCTACAGTACTCCTCTCCATGTCCTGATCTACATAACATAGGAGGTGCTCGCTGTACTGCATTGAAGGGGGAGCAGCATTGTTACCCGAAGATAGGACTATATAACACCTCTCCTTGTCCTCATTTCCATAACATTGGAGGGGGGAGGGTGTTCTGTAGTGCACAGAAGATGGCTGGGAACCTGAAAGCATTGTAGGAGCTTTCAGTTCAGTGACAGGAAGTGACCAGGACTCTGGCGGGATCAAAAGGAATCTTCTCTACTTGCAGAAAATGTTGTTGGCCCCAAAAAAAGAAAAGGAAAGCAGTCGCCACATCCTGGGAGATCTCACCCGGCAGGTGAAACTGAAATAATGGGAGTTGAAAGTGATTAATGCACGGGCAACCTCAGTACTCCAGGTGTGCTTTAACTACAAATCCCATCATGCATCTGCCGCGCGGAGTCAGGCCTGTGGCTCGTAGTCTTGCCATGCCTCATGGGACTTGTAGTTCCACAACAGCTGGAGGGCCGAGGTTGCCCACCCCTTGCTTAGTGTATCTGTAGCCAAAACTTTTTGGAAGGATTAAGGACGGGTCAGAATCCTTGTCGGTTTGTTTTGTTGCTGCCTGTGTCCCACTGGGGAGATTTCCCTTTACTTCCTGTCCTGAGGACCCAACAGGAAGTCAAATGAAACCTATACAATTGGAGTTTGTCTCTTAGGCAGTGGAGGGTGAATCTCTCCAACACAGGGAGGATATATCTGGTTCAGTGACAGGTTGGGGGTTCCTTGTGACCATTATTATGGGGCAGCTGGTGGAGATGACGTGTCCCCCTTGTGTGTTTTTAGGTGGAGTTGGAGTGCCAGGCACAGCAGGTGGTGGTGTATGATCAGAGCTCATTGGACGTGGCTTCTCTTCCCTCTGACTGTTTCCTGACGGTGCTGCTCCGCAAGCTGGACAAGCTCTTCAGCAATGTCCACCTACTATCAGGTAAGTGGAGGCGGGGTTTAGCCATGGCGCTATACAGGGAGCTCCGCCTCTCTCCCATCCTGCGGGAACAACGAATGCTTCTATGTGGGGCGGTGAATAGAAAGCATGCCTGGCATGAGGTTAAAGAGAACCTGTCAGGACGGTCTCTACCCTTGGAAGTGGAGCAGATACTGGACAGGGCCCTCGTCTGCCGGATCTAACGCTGCGCCAGGGGATTGGGCAACACCAACCGATATCGCTCCATCTGTGACAGATGACTGCTATCCTGACAGGTTCTCTTTATGTCTAGATTATGGGAGCACTGATGATGCACAATAGGGACTTCCCTTAAGTCGGTGCCCTGGGGTGCCTCGGAGCAATGTGTGAATCTAGTCCAGGACGTAGATGGGGACCCTGGATGATGCCTGAAGAAAGATGGCGCCATCCTTGTGGAGAGAAAAGCAGATGGCGCCATTGTCAGGGGGATTCGTGTGATCTCTCTGGATTTTAGTGGTGTGTGTGTGTGGGGTAGGGGAGGTCTCGGCACGCTGCCACCACCCTCGTCATTGTCCTCACCTCTGCCGTTCTTCTATCCCTAGGCGGATTCTTTGAGTTCTCCTCCTGCTACCCCGGACTGTGTGAAGGGAAGGCCTCTATGGTGCCCTCCTGCATCTCCCAGCCATGTCTTCCTGTCTCCAGCGCCGGCCCCACGCGGATCCTCCCTCACCTCTACCTGGGCTGCCAGAGAGACGTCCTTAACAAGGTGAGTCCAACGCAACCCGGCGCACTGCCTGCATGGCAGATCCTAAAGGGACATCACTCCTTTCTAAATCTATCACCGATCAATCATCAATCTACCACCGATCAATCATCAATCTACCACCGATCAATCAATCAATCTACCACCGATCAATCCATCAATCTACCACCGATCAATCATCAATCTACCACCGATCAATCATCAATCTACCACCGATCAATCATCAATCGATCAATCCATCAATCTACCACCGATCAATCATCAATCGATCAATCCATCAATCTATCACCGATCATCCATCAATCTATCACCGATCAATCATCAATCTAGCGAAATCACTGAGTGCATGGGTAAATCATCGTCCTGTCTGGCAGGGGAGGAGACCTGATTTTCCGTTGCTGCAGTTCAGTAACACGTACAGGTCTTGTCCCTCCCCCAGCCTGTGACTGGACAGTGAAAGGAGAAGTGGCAGACAGACGAGTTCATCTCTTTGTCACTCTGCTCTGCCCTACTATCAGCAATAGGGGTACTCCTCTTGCTTCCTGTGACATCTCTAAAACCGGAAGTGACAGAAAATTGCTCTTTGGGACAAAGATGGCAAAATATAAAACTGAGGGGTGTTTTCGTGCTTCTCTACACTACTAGTCTTTGCCGTACACACACAATAATGCCGGGCGGAGTCATATTAGGGAAGGGTAAAGGTGAAGTGTCTGAGGGGCTGGGCCAGGGTCCGGCTTCCCATGGAAGCGCCGGTATCTGTGGTTTCAGTAGAGACTCTGACTTTTCCTCTGTACACGTAGACAGGAAGTCATATGTGCATTGAGAGTCCTTTCCCCCGTCTGTGTGTGTGATGTATGTTTTATCTGACCCTCAGATGGGTCATTTCTGTATTTGGGGTGCCTGTGTCCCCTCTAGCTCACCCACTTCCTCTTCTCATCCAGGAACTGATGCAGCAGAATGAGATCGCCTTCGTGCTGAACGCCAGCAACACCTGCCCCAAACCCGACTTCATCTGCGACTCCCACTTCCTGCGGGTTCCGGTCAACGACAGTTTCTGCGAGAAGATCCTCCCGTGGCTGGACAAGTCTGTGGATTTTATAGGTGAGGAGCGGGAGAGGCGAACGGCTTCATCATGATGGTCCAGAGACGCGGAGAAATTGTCGCTCCTCTGTGACCATAACACAGGCTGGCAGCTTTCTTGTCTTCTGCTGCCATACTTGGTGCCACGCAGATGGCAGCACCGGGGTCCTGGGTTCAGTTCTCACCTGGACTCTGACTACAGTGAGCTTTTATGTTCTTCCATATTTTTGGTGGGTTTCCTCTGGTGTTACTGTGTCCTCCCAGAATCCTAAAACGTACCGATACATTGACCCTAGTATACAGTATATGACTGTGAGGGGACATTAGAGTGCAAGCTCTTCTGGTACAGAGACAGATGGGACTGGCTCAGTGTTCTCTGTACAGCGCTATAGTATAGGTCAGAGCTATATAAATCTAATAATAGTGTGTGTCTGTGGTGAGACATTAGAGTGTAAGCTCCTCTGGTTTGGTGTTCTCTATACAGTCCTGGGTGATGTATTATTATGGGATTTCCTGCTGTATGTGTATCTGCCCTTTTATTGAAAGGGATTGTCCACATTCACTGACTTGGGTTGGTTGCTATGTACACGCCCCCTGGTAACGGTTACTGAATCTGCTGCTTACAATTGAATTCTGCCGGCAGAGATCACGCGGGCGGGTTGTATCTGTTGCCGG